AAAGCCAATATATACCACAGTTAGAAATCCTAGACCAAATACAACAGAGCGAGTAAATAAAGAGTTGAGCAGATTATTTAGGACGCTTTGTCATACTAACCACAAAGATTGGGCGTTAATATTGCCGAAATTAGAATAATTGTATAATAATTCTTATCACAATAGTACAGGCTTCACGCCTTGTGAGATTCTTTATGGTGAGTCTAATGAGATGTCTTTTGACAAAGTAATTTCTAAAAGTAAAGACAAACATAATGTCGAACAAATTAGACAACAAGTGCGTAAAAATTTAAAAGAGGCAAGTCGAATAAGAAACACAAAATTTGATAAGCGAAATAGATTAATAAAATATAATATTGGTGACTTAGTAAAAATTTCAAGATCTAGTAGATCAGACGCTGATAATAAAGTTATGAGTAAGTTCAATTTGGCATATGAAGGACCTTATGTAATAGCAGCCGTACCATTTGACAATGTATATACCTTAGCAAATCCAGAGACAAACGAAATTAGAGGAATTTTCAATGCTATTCACTTATTAAAATATTTTAAATAATAATTTCTTTTTGTATAAATTAGAGTAATTAAATAAATATTGTAACATAAAAGGGTTTTGTGGGTGGCCCATGGAAATAATTGTTTAAGTTAAAGGTCTAAAATTATTAAAGTTATGAGCAAGAGATTTGTTATATGATAGTAGAACGTTATTAATATATAATGAAGAGTTGTAAATATAGATCGTAAGATAATTTTGTAATCATTTTTATTAAATAAATATGGGAGTTGGGTCAGGGCGAATGGCTCAAACACATTTATCCTATGTGGTATCGAACTGACCTCAACAAATATCCAACTGGATTGTATGCACTATATACTACTATGTCGAAATAATGTTACAAAGATTTAAAGATAAATTAATAAAATAAGAAATCGACAATTGACTGCAAGCTTTATTAACAACACGATATACAATAACTTGAATTATGGTGTTATCACATTGTGATAATTGTGGTTGAAGGGGTGTTGGTGGCGGCCATTCCCTGGGGCAGGGGGATTTGATAACATATGCCGTATTGTAACAGATTAAAAGAGGAAAGAACAGATATATAAACAATTATTTGAGTGTAGTGTATATGCTCTCAAAATACTAAAATTTTATATTAACGACTCCACTATGTGGATCATTAACATAAAATTTGGGGGTGGATTGTGACGCCTCATAATTATTATTAATAAATAATAATTAAATTCATTATACAGACATTTAAAAATGTCATAGAAATTATAATTTAAACAATAAAATGCAAATAATAAGCATAGAGTTCAAAAATATCCATTTGGAATATTGAATGTTATATATATTAGTAAACGCATAAAATGTCTCTAAAAATCTCTAAATTTATTAAAAAACCTGCTTAAAATGTTTAAAATATATCAAATCATATAAATACAAGGCGATTATATTGCAATAACAAAGATAAATAACATTTGTAATATAATAGAAAAAATGGATTAAAATTTTCTAAGTTGATGAAGGAGTTCGTGTAATAATTGGAAAATTTCTAAGTTAATGAACGTGTTCTTGTAATGTACCCTTATATTGGGGCGTTGTCGGAGACACATACCCAAGGTTGTACATATATATGGGGTGGTCGGCTGACCGACTGCTAGTACTAAGGTTGCACAATGACTAGTCCTATATTAGGGACTTAACATAGTAAGGTCTGACGAACCAAAGCATTAATATAGAAGGTCTCTATGATGCATAAGCATTATGATAGCAGAGTTATGACTTGAAGTCCCATATGAATAAGACATACAGTAGTATGGTCTATGAAATAAAGCAAATATGTGGAAGGTCTCAAATATGTAAAAGCATTATATTGAAAGAAATGGGACTTGAAAAGGATTATTATAGTGGCGTGTAGGTTGCTTCGCAGCCTCTGAGACCGAGGTAAACTTGGACTCACTAACCGATGTGTCCTAGACATATCATCTTAGTGCCGGTGGTAAGCGGGTTTGTTGTAGCAATACGACTTGCCCGTGGACATCGCACACCCCTACCGGTTGTGGGCGGCGTCTTAGCGCATAGCGTTATGATACGTCGGCTATCTTTCGGATTAGGGTGAGTGTGTTTGGTAGTACTTTTAAGTGCAGCAAGCATACTCAACTTCATGTCTTAGTGCAATAGCGCTATGATACGTGGAGTTTTGGCTACTGACGTCTTAGTACCGTACTACTATGATACGTTAGTGGTATTTTTAGTTAACAACATTATCAAATTTTGTTACCAAAGTCGATAGGGATCATGTGGGTGTGTTGTGAGGGGGCGCCATCCGTATGATAGTTGCATTGATGCTTACTGCTACTTGCAGTATTGTGTCTTGTGATGGATCTGCGGGTGTGCTGCACCTGATTCGATACATCTTGTGGTTCTGGTCGATGGAGGTATGCGGGTGGTGATGTCTGCTGGGACTGTATGGGGGACCTTGGGATGGTGTAAGCCCGACGATAGTCGTATTGATGCTTGTTGCATTCTGTAGCATTGCGTCTCTACGATGGTTGTTTGGCGGGTCGCTATTCTCAATGGCGCTCTCTGCGTCTTGGTTTGACTCACAACCTAAGTAGCTTTGCCCAAGTCGGGTCCCTTCATTGCGGGGCTGCAGACTGTCTGCCCTCCATGATGTTTTATATAACAACTTAATAATATATCTCTATAAAGTTCCCACCTTTGAGAGATTGAAGGCAACTTGTTGGTGGGTGAGACAAACATGATCGAAAAATGCATATACTCAACGTCAGTGACACAAACCCGTTCTGATGGCGAATTATTAATATTATCTTATAACTGCCTATTGGCTATATCTGCCATTGTATTGGTTGGTGGAGCATATGTGTTGACCTCATGCGGGTGGTAGCTGGAGGGAGAATCTGAGGAGGCTCTCAAGGCTGCGGCCGAAAGCCGCGCAACGTGGGACCCCATTCCCTTGAGGTGAGCGGTAGACTCATGACACGCTCTGCGGCCAATTGGCCGTGCTGACCATGCAATTGGTGGTGATGCCTTACACTTACATCACGTCTGCAGGAACGGCGGTCTGGCAGGTGGTGGCGCTCACGGAAGGCTTTTTATGGTCAGTGTGCCTATTGTTGCCTAACCCGTGTGACGTACATTCACTGTGACTGGATTTGATCGTATTCTGTATGGCGTTTACACGCATTGACATGCGCGACTTCGGTCGATGTTTGTGCTTACGCACTGTCAAGGGGCCAAGTCCTCTTTTACTGGTTCGCCAGTTATTTTGCTGTGGACTACGGTCCAGTTCCCAACTTTGCGTACCCTTCGGGGGGAGCGCATTAAAATGGTTGGCGCTCACCGTGCGCGGCGTGTGTGGGGCCGTGTACCTCCTCCACATTTTTTTAAAATGTGGGAGAGCGAAGCCCTTGTAACTGGTATTTGATATAAATATTGTGAGCCTTTTCCAAGCGGGAAGGGATTAATTAATAAGGAATTGACTGTTGTGAACCAGATACAAGTGGAATAGGGACAATTTATTGTTCTTAACCTTTTTGAGCTCCGTCTTCGTGAACGGGGTTCTCTAGCTTATAAGACTCTACCAACAGCTTTCGATTGCTCTCGTGAATATTCATTCTTCCAAGATACACCTAAAAGAACTAAGTTACTATACAAACACAACGTAAAAAAGGGTCCTAACTAAGACGATCACGCCATAAATTTATTAAACGGCCTATATTTAAACCTTTAGAAAGATCAAGTTATACTGGTCACGTAAATTAGATATATTTATATATTTTACAGATATAGATTCTAAAGAAATACAAGTATAAGTGGATATATAGTAGAAGAGAAAAAAGATGGGGGGGGGTTCGTTACAATATCAATGATATGTTGTAAACTGGTAATATTCATTGCTATGCATGCGACAGTACTGGTGATTTCTTATACACCGGTCGTGCCAATATTTCTTGGGAAAACGTCGCCGAGTACCGGGACAAACTTGGGTCTGAAGTCAAGTCTTTGCTGAATAAAGTCTCGGATTGGGGCCGATTAAATCTAGTTCAGTTCAATCCCCTGAAGACACAAGTTTGCACGTTTACCGCTAAAATAAATCCCTTTGTCGTATGTCCTCAGTTTTAAGGCACTCTCCTTTCTGTTTCATCTAACATGGGAATCATCTGCGTCAAAATATTGAATGATGTGCAGTTGGTGCTAGGAAGGGAAGGCCTAATTGGCCTCTAAAAAGCTAAGCGTGCTCAGCAGAGCGAGACAGTATATCATGAACGCACATCGCTTGCAACTTTACAGTTTACAGAGTACAAGTTCGGCCTCACATGGAATACTGTTCTGATCTGTGGGTACCTTGGTACTCCAGTGCCAGCTTCTTCTACTTGACCGCATCCAGCGCAGAGCTGTTCGAAACGTCGATGACCGAGTTCTTTCTGATCAGCTCGATTCACTGACGTTGTGTATGGATGTTGCATCGTTTTGCATTTTCTATCGCATCTACCACAAGAAGTGCTCTGAGGAATTGTACGGATTAATTTGCACATCGCGTCAAAATTCACGATACCATCCTTACCATCTGGATTCTTGGTGGTCCACCAATTTGTCCTTTATTAGGAGTTTTCTTTTTATTTCAACTTCTCTGGAATTGTTTAGCACAGGCAATTTTTCCGGACAGATACGACTTAGGGACCTTCAAGAAAAGAGTTTACACCTTTTTAACAAGGCCAGCAACGTATACCTGCAATTCCCCTGGTGTTACGGTTGTTCATGGGTGGCGGTATTCACTTATCATCAAATTTTTTAATGGTTGTGTTTTCTGAAAAAAAAAAAAAGTTATTTATAAATATTTGAATACTGATTCTGATAACTCACTGAAAGGTAACCACAGGGTTTATGTTACATGTTGTATATAATATTTGGATCGCCTCGTATGTTATTTAGCAGGTTGATATATAAGACAGTGAATATGTTCCAGAGTGGAGTGTTGCAGTGCTCGGAGGTCCCGGAGCGCGGGCGCGGGGCGGGCGCGGGCGCGCTGGGCGGCGCGGCGCTGCACAGCGTGCTGGTGCGCGGCTGCGCGCTGCCGGCCGCGCCGCTGGCCTGCGCGCTGCGGCGGCGCGGCGCGCGCTCGGCGCAGCGCCTCACGCTGCAGGCGCCGCGCGCACCCCTCGCCGCAGGGCACGTGCGCGGCCTGCAAGGACTCAACATGCTGCGCCTCACTGACCTCGGTGGGTACACGTCATGCCATTTTTTGCGGGGGAAAGCTGCACACACAAAAACAATCGTCTATCACTACTAAACTGACCACAATTAAAACAATAAACTAACAATTTCTCACACACATAAATAGATTAACATATCGCCCGGTAACAGCGACAATTCGAATACAGATTCCAATCAGTCATTCGACCGATCAGCATATTATATGACGTCGAGCGGCCTGTGTTGGTAAAAAAATTCCGAAACAAGACCACCGTTTTCATTGTAATTTTTAAGTAAAGTCGTGGCTAATCTCTTTTTTATTATAACTCGGTATTTTGGTAGAACGTCGATTCAGTCGCGCAACTAGATTTAGTCTACTGAGCAATGCAACTGCATCTAGTTTTATTATACGCATAGGACTGATTTACACTTATTCATTGTTAGAGAGGAACGCCGCGCCATCGTATGGCTACTCCCCCCAGATAAACAGTTGGTCCGTGTTGCTCTAGGGTAACCCTCTCGCTTTTCACTTCGAACTGTAGTGGGCAATACAAATCCTATATAGATACAATATGTACATTACGGTGCAATAACCAAAGCACTCGCGGCTACGCGCGCTCACCATCCTGCGCCTCACCGGGCTCGATTGGTGATTACATCAACGTTAAATTAAGCGATGTGCTCGTATATAATGACTGCCTACCGTATATACGAGTGGTCTAGTGGTTCGCAAGTGCAACAATCATCAGTTTATAGTGACTGGTTTTTTCTGACAAGATATACTCAGTAGCAACTCTTAGTCAGAAAGTTAGCGGTGCTATACCCCCATGCCTCGGAAACCTGTAAAGCTGTTAATACTGCACTTGATCTCCGTCCGTGTCGTCGAAATATGAGAATGAGGGAATAGAAAGTGCACAGGCACTAGCCACCATGACCGAAATTCGTTAATATTACATCAATGGTATTGCGGTTCGCGAGGAGTGTTAAAACAACAGATTTTGCAATAATTAAGTCTGTTTTGTGACTAATGCCGTTCTAACAATGTAATTCTAAAATTATGCTTCGCGTATAGAAATATAAACCATTGATTCTTGTGTAGAGTTAAATGATGACAATTGATGTAAAATCTTGTAATTTTGAAATGTTTTAGCAGTTCCTTATCTTCATCTACTCAGATACTTTCAGGACATAAACATCCCTCACGGAAGAAACACTTGCCATGAACATATTATGAGATATAATATTTAACTATGTTAATGCAACTTGTAGATGGACAAGAGATGGAGTTACCCTTAGAAGCCATGTCGGTGCTGCCGGAGCTCAAACACTTTACGCTGAACAACGGGCGGTTATTGCTGAAGGAAGCTTTGCCACCCCTGCCACTGGAGGCGCTGGAACTAGCAGATGACGCGCTGCAGTCACTGCCGATCGCTGCTTTTCGGCATCTAACAAGCTTGCGCCGCCTTGGCCTCTGGCGTAATCGTTTCACCGAGTTACCGGAAAATACTTTACAAGGTAGTGTATTTTTATATTGAAATTAAAACAATTTGCAGGTATTGTTACAAAATAGTGCTGGTACGATAGCTAGCTGCGTGATGCATATCGTTGCACGAGAATGTACCCGGAAATAAAAGTCAATGTCCTCTGTCAAGATAATAAAATGTGTGGGCATATGATAGACAATGCTCAAAGTAATTGAACAAGCAAATCGCACCCTTATGTCTATGACTAAAAACCCTTTGTCTCCTTTGGCCCTAATATTAATCGCGAGCGTTCTAGTACTTTCCCATTGAAAGAGCGGAATGTTAGAATGATCCGGATTAACAAAAAAATTAAAACCCATAATATCCAATCGTAATAAATTACACGCAGACAAAGTCGCGGGGAAAAGCTAGTATTTTATATAACATGTTCATAACATGTAGAATAATAGGTTTTGAATTACCGTTCTTTACTTCTCTCACAAGTACTCAACGGTAAAGTATATTATATTGTAATAAGTGTAAGGTTTGTGACTGTTTACCTGGAATATTCTACATTTATTTTGTTGGATATAAAAATAAAAGTATGAATTGGGAATCAATTATTTTGGGAACGTTACCTCACCAAAGAAGCTTGGCTATTTTGGGCGACGTGATTGTATACTTTTTTTTTTATAGGTGACAAACGAACTCACAGTCCACCTGATGGTAAGTGGTTGCTGTGGCCTATAGACATCTACACCTATCTTCGATTATAAATGAGAATGCAGATGCGTTGTCACCCGTGAGGACTTAGATGGAATGCCTCGTTTCCAGTAAAAAGTGTCTCCGGTTCTCTACACTCACCATACCAAACACAGCAGCGTTAAGCTGCTATTTGACGCTGGTATTCTGTGAGAGCGTGGTCCTTTCCCGGTCAAGCCGACCCATTCGTGCTACAACCATAATATAGCTGCAGCATGGCTCTACCACGTATACTTGCTGAGCGTGTGGAAGAATAAATCCGTTTTCATCCTAATCAGCAATTTTCCTCAATCCACAAGTAATAGTACTATAATTAGGATTATCTAAACGCAAGGGTTTTGAGCTGATAATATATTAAATTAATTTTTATAGAAGTAAGTTATCATATCTATAAATATAATATAATTCTTTTGTACGTGTGTTTGTCACTGAACGCCACCTAAACGGCTGGACTGATAATAAGTAGACAATAAGTAAGTGTGCCAATTCGACTAAATAAAAAAACAACTACACTAAAACGTTAAAGAACAAATTCGACAAACAGAGTATATTGAGTTATGCTGACTATTAAAGTCCCGCTGGGTTGCTTGCTGGTTCTTTCCAGGACAGAAGCTTTTTTCCGAACCAGTGGTAAAAGTAAAAAATTACTTTCAATAAGAATTACATGTAATCTATATTAAATAAAAAATATTCTAATTAAAATATATTCTATTCTATTTATTCATAGGATTGGAGCAGCTGCAGCAGTTGAGTCTTAGCTCCAACGAGCTGCGTTCGTTGCCCGACGGTTTGCTGGCGAGCACGCCGCGATTGAAACAGCTCGACCTCTACGATAACGCGCTGGAAACTTTGCCACGTACCGTGCTTGCTGGACTCGAGCATTTAGAGCAGGTGAGTCAACAGATCCGATCTCAGATTACGGATAAGTGTCGGTGTAAGAATATCAACTACTCCATATCATCCCATGGGTGTCGTAAGAAGCGACAGAGGAAAACTGAAACAGGTGATGGACAGCAACACCTTCCTGATGACAACTCAAAATAATAAAAAAACTGCGGTTGCCAACCCGAATGCCAAGCGTAGCAACTATGGTGCAATCTCCCCTATGGGATACTTTATGGGGGAGGCCCATGTTCATCAGTGGACTTTTATAGGCTGCAATGGAGTCACTAGATCAATTGTTTATTCATATTAGCTATTTGGATTTGCTGATAAGGATTGGTTGGTTAGCTGTGTGTGATGTTGTTTAATATAGACTATCAAAATTGCGCAAACTGGACTGCATCGTAAGAAGCGACAGAGGGAAATTGTAACTGGCGATGGGCAGCAACGGCATCTTCCTGATAACAACTTAAAATAATTAACTAACTGCGGTTGTCAACCCGCCTGGGAAGCAAGGCAACTATGACAAACCACCCCACGAGGAAATCTTTGGGAAGGCGAGCTGAACATTTGATAGGCTGTAATGTTTGAATGAATGACTATTCTTTGAACTGACTTTGACTTTGAACGAAGCGTCAGTAGCCTAATGGCAGGGCGCGAACCGCGAACTTGAAAGGTCGTGGGTTCGAATCCGCCATTCGACTACTGTCGTGAACCACTTCTAACACAAGCATTTTAAGCTTACCAGAAGTGGTTAAAAGGAATATTAGTAATGTTTAATAGCATTACTAGTATTTAAAAAAAATGACTGCATAATTTAAAGGTTTTGTTCTCTCATCATTAGTAAGTGTAGGGAGCCAATAACCTTGCTTTGACGATGCTGTACCATAATCATATGTGCCATTCGGATTAATCATTTTCAAACTGTCAAATTTAATTGCAAGAGCTTCGCTCACCGTTGCACCGCGTGCAAATGAGGTTAACATCATCAGAACGTAGAGAAAATCACTATAATCAAGCTGAAATATTTAAAGTTTAGTTAGCTTATTAGTTCGTTTATTTGGTCATGTTTTTTCAAATCCTTATGATAATCGAAATGCAAAAACTAGATCGAAGCATAAAAGAAACGATTACACACGCAAAATGCATCCGTACCAGTAAAAATGGTCTTCTCTATACTGACCATAAGAAATGCAGCAGCATTATAGCAACCTCATTTATTATGATGACGGCTCCGTAGCGCAGTGGCTTAGTAATGAGTTGTTGCGTTGGGGGGCGCGGGTTCGAATCCCGCACGGAACAAGTATTTGTATGGCCTACAAATAATTGTTCCGGGTCTGGATGTTTCTCCTCGTGCAATCTATGTTTGTAATCTGCCTCCACGATACAGAAGAAAATCCTAGTGTGGGGGTAACATTATTTAAAAAAAAAGATTATAATTTATTCCCACTGGTATGGCATGCTTGTCAACTCAACGTTACGTGGCTGAGCCATGTTGCAGCTACATTATTGTTGTAGGTCGAATGGGTGGGCTCAACCGAACCGAACCACCGTCTTGCAGAATACCAGCGTGAAATAGCAACTCAATACTGCTGTGTTTCTTATAATGAATATAGAGAACCGGAGTCCATTTTCTGGAAGCGAGGCGTTTCATCTTAGACCTTAGTGGTGTCAACGCATCTGTATTTTGATTCTTAATCTTCGAGAATAGATGTAGTATATGGACCACAACATCCACTTACCGTCAGGTAGATTATGTGCACGTTTGTCACCCTTATTCTATAGAAAAATCTATATATCGAGCAACAGACTAACTATGTATCAGTCGCCACTGCAGTACAGCGTCACTTTACAACTTTACCTAACATCTGACATCGTATCTTCATAACATTTTAACTTTATAATCTCTTTTTACTAAGTAAGTTGTAAGTTCAACTCAGTGGTATTGAGAGTGTGTGTGTGTGACGGCAGGTGCGCCTGAACGACAACCGCGGGTCGCTAGTGCTGGGCGGGGGCGCGTTCGCGGCGCTGCCGGCGCTGCGCGACCTGGACCTGAGCCGCGCCGGCGCGCGCGCGCTGCCGCCGGACCTGCTGCAGGTACTGCTCTCAACAAGTTCTGAACGTGATGTATAATGCCGCTGGACCTTCTGTAGGTACTGCTCTCAACCAGCTCTGAGCATGTATACTGGCGCCGGACCTACTGCAAGTACTGCTCTCAACAAGTCTGAACGTGATGTATAATGCCTCCGGACCTTCTGTAGGTACTGCTCTCAACCAGCTCTGAGCATGTATACTGGCGCCGGACCTACTGCAAGTACTGCTCTCAACAAGTTCTGAACGTGATGTATAATGCCGCCGGACCTTCTGTAGGTACTGCTCTCAACCAGCTCTGAGCATGTATACTGGCGCCGGATCTGCTGCAAGTACTGCTCTAAACAAGCTCTGAACATGTATATTGCCGCCGGATCTGCCGCAAGTATTGCTCTCAACAAACACTGAATTTGTATATTATGTGTTATCGGTAGGGTTCGCACGCGCTGCAACGGTTAGCCATGTCGGGCAACTCGCTGCGTGAAGTGCCGGACAAGCTGCTGCGTGGATTGGCAGCCCTAAGCTACCTCGACCTCAGCCGCAACCAGCTGTCTCGCCTACCCAACGCCTTCTTCGCAGACCAACGTAACCTCACCGACCTCTACCTCGATCGCAACCTGCTTGAAACTTTACCCGGGTGAGCAGACTTTGTTTGCTTTAGGATATCCTTGCATATCGTTGTACGTGAGTACGCTAAAGAGTTTACTAAAATACTTAAAACTAGCTGTTGGCTATACTATAATATTACTCACTTACTTACTTAAAACGGTTGGCTAGTTTTAAGTACGTAAGTAATCCGTAAACATTACTCGAATATGTCATAAAAGTAAAAGATTTATACCTTCATAGACTATCCTATCTCCAAGCATTAAACCAACAAACTGTTGCTGTAGCGAAGCTGGTTTTCTAGTAGCTGTATATTGATTGGCATATTTTTTTATTATTCTAAGCCAGAGCTTAACTATTGCCCCACCTATATATAAATATAAAAATATATATATATATATATATATATATATATATATATATATATATATATATATATATATATATATATATATATATATACTGGGTGGCGCCCAGGTTATCACGTTAAATAGCACAACAGTTAATACAAGTTGATATATGTCTGTTAAAATAATAAAATAAACAATAATAAAAACTAATAAAAAATGCATCTTTCAAACAAAATAAATAGGGTAAAAAATCACATAAAATAAATCATCCTTGATAATATTACTTAACTGACCTGAAATGACTTGTAGAAGCGGCAACGTCGCGGCCAGCGGTTCATTGCTCATGCGACATCGATATAGGTAATTATATTATAATACCTAGGTCCTAGGACTTGCCCATACATAGGTAATTAGGCACGCGTAGGGCGATGCTAATCCGATGTTATCAACAAATCACAAATTTCATGGTATTTTTTTATCCAAATAATCACTTTAACCTTGAAATCACTCAAGTTTATGAAACAAATCAAATTTTTAAATTTTCAAAATGTCCGCCGTGTACCCGAATGCATAATTGACATCGTCGCATGATATTATTTCGGACTTTTCGAAAGAGGGCACCATTGGCTGCAAAATTTTTTATTTTGTCGAAAGCCCGCATTATTCTTATTTTTAAGTCCTCGACAGTCGTTACTTCAGTAGAGTACACCTCATTTTTTATGTAACCCCATAAAAAGAAATCTAACGGTGTTAGATCCGGAGACCGTGCTGGCCACCGAGAAGGTCCGTATCTGCCAATCCAGTTCTCTCCGAACATCTCAGTGAGGCGCTGCCTGGCAGCCACCACTGAATGAGCAGGTGCTCCATCAAGCTGGTACCATAACCGGCTATTGGCCCCCAACGATAGTCCATCAACGTAATCCGCCACTGTGTCAGATTAACAGATTAAGTCAAGCAGTTCCAAAAATTTAGGCCCATTAAGGTTGCCTTCGATAAACGCGGGACCAATTATTTGATCTCCGTGTATTCCAGCCCAAACATTAACGGCAAATCTATATTGGTGCATAGACTCTCGACACAGTTGCGGATTTTCTTGACTCCAGTATCGTAAGTTCTGCCGATTCCATATTCCGTTACGTGTGAATGTGCTCTCGTCAGTCCACATTACGTTTGCTAAAAAGTTAGAGTCATTAGCTACTTTGCTCAGGAGCCATTCACAGTAGGCTTCCCTAACTGGCTTATCTCTATCTAATAAAGCCTGTACCTTTACGTATTTGAACGGCCGTTGCTTGTTTTTTTTTAATATTCTGTGAACAGACTTGTGGTGTACACAGAATTGGCGAGCTGCTCTACGGAGACTTGATGTTGGATTACGAGCGAAATAATTTAATATTCGTTCTTCCTGAGCCACGGCGACTCGCGGAGGAATTTCAACCTGACGTGGAATCAAATTTTCGCCGTCACGTAATCTTTGGACTGCCCGTATAAAAATCCGTGAGTCTGTAGGACATACATGTGTGGTATTATACCTCTCTCGGTATGTTCGTAATGCCAGGGACGCGTTTTGGTGGCATTCTCCATAAATTAAAACCATATCGGTGTATTCCAATGACGTAAAATTGATACGAGGCATTTTAAAATAAAAAAAGTTATACGTTTAAAAAAATAAAAGCGTCCAATTGCGCACGGGCTGACACACCACTAAGTTATTAAATATCACTTATCTATTATTAACGAGTCCTATCACAAATAAAAAATACAAGATAGTAAAAGAAAGCGTCAAATTTCGCACAAATAGTCACACCACCTCCTCAACACAATTATTATTATAGTATTAACGTGTCCTATCACAAACAAATCAAGAAACTTATGAAAATATCCACAAAAAAAAATTTAAATTAAAAGGACGTGTACGCGAAAAACTAAAATTAGGTCAAGCGATTAATGAACCGTTCCCAAGGACGCCGGCGTCGGACTAAGTGACTTACTGTCTTACTTTATCGTCGCACGCGCCAATCGACCACATCCCACCCTCCCAACACCCCGTCCCAATTCTTGTCGCATCGGGCATAAGAATTATGCCTTATTTTGTTACATATAAGTACATTTTTTGCTTAATTTATTACTTTATTTGATTATTTAAAATTGGCAACGTTGCACTATAATACAATATAGGTCTCTTGGCCTTCACGGGCCATGGGTCTTTGAACTTCTAGTATTTATCAGGTGATATCTGATGCATTTACATGATGTTGTTTAATATTAAAACAAAAAAAAGGCTACCGCGCCCAGAATGTTAATTGTTATATATTTTTTTAGTTGTGTATGTTTAAAGAACTTTGTATAGAATACGTCTTTTCATTTAACGTGATAACTTCATCGTCACTTTGTATATATATATATATATATATATATATATATATATATATATATATATATATATATATAATTATATATATGTATATATATATATATATATTTATAAATATATATTATATATATAAATTGTTACTATGATGATTCTGCCAATTTATTAATTAAGTGTTCCCGAACCTTCATCTTGAACGCGTAACGATTGTTAGCCGTCCTGGTTTCGAGAGGTAAAGCATTCCAAAGGAGAATAGATTGAATGTGGAAAGAAGAATGAACAAGTACAGAGCTATGGGAGGGACATAGGAGAAGAAGATTGTTCGTAGAGCGGAGGTTTCTCTCATGACTAGCGCTAAGCAACTGAAAGTAAGTAGATAAGTAGGAAGGGGAAGTTGGAGACATCAGGATAGAATAAAGGGTGTTAAGTGCACGCAAACTGCGGCGTTGACGAATAGGTAGCCATTTTAATTGAGATCGATACGTGGATACATGGTCATACTTTCGAAGATTGAAAATGAATCGAATGCAGTTATTCAGAAGACGGTCATATTTGTTGAGAAGATCTGCATTCAGGTCGAAATACATATAACACACACCACCATAGTCGATTAGGAGAAAAATTAAACTTTGCACAAGCATTGTTTTGATTGCAGATGGTAGAAAATTTTTGAGGCGATAGAGAGAACGCAGGGTACCGGTAACTTTCTGGCTAACAGTAGTTGCTTGGTCTTTCCAACTCAAGGTAGAATCAATTAATAAACCTAGATCCTTCACAGTAGAACACAATTGAATCTCAGTACTATTAAAAAAGATAGGAGGTAGAGCTACTGTTTTCAATCTATGAATCATCCGTTGCCTACCAATTACTATGGCCTGACACTTCGTAGGGTTGACCATTAGACCAAACCTGTCAGACCAGTTCTTAATATACTCGAGGTACCTGTTAATTATGTCCACCGCTGTAGAAATATTGTAAAATTAGAATGTCATGATTGATGGTATTAAAGGCGTTCGAGAAGTCAACTAAAACCAACACAGTGACTTAAGCGTCCTCTATGCCTGCCCTAATATCACCAGTTACTTTCAGGAGTGCGGAAACGGTGCTACGACCGGGCCTAAAGCCAGACTGCAAGGGACTTAATAAGTTATTACAGGAGATAAATTGCGAAAGTTGCTTGTGGACACAGGCCTCATGGACCTTGAATAAGAAGGGAAGGATGGATATAGGTCGGAAATGTTTGGGTAAATTAGGATTTGGGATCTTTTGTAACGGAATAACGTAAGCCTTACGCCACAAAGAAGGAAAATCACCAGAATCTAAGGAGAAGTGAATGATGTGCGAGATAACTGGGAGGATATCGTCAAGTATAAAGATAATCATCCGTCGGCTGATGTTGTCGCAATTACTACCCCATTAGATTTAGTGGATAGGATGGATAGGAAAAAATTTGATTGACTTCATTATGACGACCAGAAGACAACTGTTTAGTGATGTCTCAGTGATCGCGTGGCTGAAAACTGGTAGTGATTACCGAATGGTTAGAGGCAAACTGAACCTAAACGTTAAGTTAGAGAGGTCATGTCTAATGAAGTAAACGCTCCCTCCCCCTCGTGCTCTAATCCAAAGTCCCGAAACCTTTCAGCTCGAGCTACGAAATCGTTTTAAGTGCCTAGAAGATTGCAATGCAGTGGACGATATGAATGACAAGCTCGTGGAAACTGTCCGATGCGGTCGGAGCTAAGTTTTGCAAGACCCACCGCAGAAGAACACAAAAACTCTCCGATCACAGTCGTTAATCTCATGGCTGTTAGACGGGATATGACGCTGCAGTCTTCAGTAGATTTGACAGCATACAGGCAACTGAACAGACATATCTACAAATGCATGCGGCGGGACTTACGCAACTTTAATACTGCTCGTATTAAAGAAGCGATCGAGCGGAACCAGGGCTCCAAAGTCTTTGCTAGAGATCTGTCTGTTAGAAAGAGCCAACTTTCGAAGCTGAAGACCGAGTCGGGCAGCGTCATTTCCGGGACACTTGAGATTTTGAGTGAGATTGAGAGGTTTTATGGGCAGCTGTACACATCATCGTTGGAGCCACACGCAAGTTTTTTTTTATATGTTACGGCCCTCAGTTGCCCCGACAAAAGTCAACTGGACCAGGGCCCATGAGTGATCCACTCGACGGGCAACCAGAGGGTTCGGGCCCAAATGGCCTTATGGACAATTGACCTACCCGATCAAGATAAGGCTAGGTAAATTAATACGACTTACCTGGTCCAGAAGCGGAGACTGGTCACAAGGCTCCTTAAAAACGGCAAGGCCCCAGGCGAGGATGGAATTACAGCGGAGCTTCTGAAAGCGGGTGGAAAACCGGTACTTGAAGTCCTTCAGAAGCTCTTTAAATCCGTCCTCTATGGTGGCATTACACCGGAGGCGTGAAGCAGAAGTGCGGTGGTCTTGTTCTTCAAGAAAGGCGACAACGCTCTCTTGAAGAACTACAGACCGATTTCCCTTCTGAGCCGCGTCTACGTGCTGTTTTCGAGAGTCGTTACGAATCGTCTCGCGCACAGACTTGACGACTTCCAGCCTCCCGAACAAGCCGGTTTCCGAAAAGGCTTTAGCACCATAGACCACATATATACCCTTCGGCAAATCGTACAGAAGTCCGGGGAGTACAATTTGCCACTATGTCTGGCGTATGTGGACTAGGATAAAGTCTTTGATTCCGTCGAAATTTGGGCGGTGCTGCAGTCCCTTCAGCGGTGCCAAGTTGACTGTCAGTATATCGAGGTGTTTACGTGCTTATACAGTAGGCCTACGATGGCTATCCGTGTACAGAACCAGAGTACGAAACCTATCCAATTGCAGAGAGGTGTAAGACAGGGTGACATCATATCCCCGAAACTCTGCATCGGGCATTGAAAGACGTTTTCAAGCTTCTGGACTGGAAAGGATCCGTATCCTTTCCAGTCATCCATCAACATCAATGGCGAGTACATCATTCACCATCGATTTGCCGATGATATAGTCTTTATGGCAGAATCGCTGGAGGACCTAAGCACTATGCTTAATGACCTCAATAGTGTTTCCCAACGGATAGATCCTTAGATGAACATGGACAAAACAAAGATGTTACGGCCTACGGCTGCTCCCTTAAAGGTCAAATCTTCAGGGGCCCATTCAGCTGAGTTTCGACGAGCAGACGTAGGTCGGGCCTCCTCCAGGCCAAAGTGGAAAATCTCTAATTACACTAAACTATATGGGGGAGCGTTCTATACTACGGCCAGTCGACCGGGAGGATATTAGACGGAGCTTACTTACCTATATCCAAGGCGACTGGTCCCTCCGGAGTCGGTCAGGTCGCATGTGGTTGTGTAGTGCAAGGGAAATAAGTGATGTGATGTGTATCTGGGTGTGACTGATGGTGATTGACCCTAGCCCTTGGCCATCGGCAGCAGCCCGGGCGTCGACACCGCTCCAAATTGAGGGAACCTTCCGCGGCGTTGTCCACAGTCACTTTCCTCGTTCGTCACGATGACAGTCCATTAACTCTATCGTACGATTAACTAACTTACAGAAGCCACTAACTCTCGTTTGTTATAATGTTAACGCACGAAAAAAAAACACGGAGTGTCCGGATCAAAGGTCACTACCGTTTCGCGTAGCAACAGTTATTTCTAGAATATCAAAGGCCGCACTAGCTAATATTGTCGAATGCACTTATACAGATTCTGAGTCGGACCCAATAAGTCCCTGGGAAGCTCTCCAGTAAGGAATACGCGTCACAAATCCTAAACAGAATATTTTCTATCCGCGCCTAATTCCGAGTTCCCTAACAAAATTGACAGTGTGCTAACGTTAGCACCGCTGACAGACGACTCCTTCGCCTTTACGCGTTCTCAACCCACCGCTCGGCCGACGTCAAAACCGGTATGGCACCGAGGCGCGCGCCCTCTCGCGTTAGTTCCTGAAATTAGCGTTTGGCGCGAACAAAGATCATGTTTAATATCCATGTCACAGCTATGCCGGTAGTTGTCGGAGCACTAAGCTCGAAGTTGTTGACGAGTATGTTTACCTAGGACAAATAGTCCGACTAGGTAAGTCCAACTTCGACCGAGAGGTCAATCGACGGATTCAATTCGGTTGGGCAGCGTTCGGGAAATTACGGCACATTTTCTCGTTAGGTATACCTCAAAACTTGAAAACGAGACTGTACAACCAGTGCGTGTTGCCAGTGATGACATATGGAACTGATACGTGGGCCTTCACTGCTGGCCAGATGAGGAAGCTCAAGGTCGCTCAGCAAGCTATGGCGAGGTCTATGCTCGGAGTTTCTCTGCGTGATAAACTTAGAAATGAGCATATCCGCAGTAGAACCAGAGTGACCGACATAGCCCAACGGATTAGTAAGCTAAAGTGGCAATGGGCCGGCTATATAGCTCAAAGAACCGACAACCGATGGGGAAAAAAGGTTCTCGAGTGGCATCCTCGTACCGGCAGCGAAGTGTCCGGCTACGCATCTGCGATCCCCCTGGTGTTGCAGTTCTTCATGGGCGGTGGTAGTCACTTACCATCAGGTGAGCCGAATGCTCGTTTGTCCCCTCTCCTATAAAAAAAGTGTAGGGCGTCCCCCCACTAGATAGAGTGACGACCTGGTAAGATATGCAGGAAGTCGATGGATGCAGGTGGCTCAGACCGTGCTTTGTGGCATTCCTTGGGGGAGGCCTATGTTCAGCAGTGGACTTGTAAAGGGCTGTAATGATGATGATGATGATGATCTGTTGATAATCCAAATAAAGGGAAAAGGAAAACATATTACGGCTGTAGTACGAATGGATTGACTAGACGGATAAAGATCACACTTGTACTTACCAACGTGAAATTATGTAGGTATGGAGGCATTATATTTTTGGTCTTAGTATTGACAATGCATCTGCATCTAAGTAAGTTCCATTCCTATAGCCACGATTTACAAAACTGCTATATAATTTGCCATCCGCTTAGAAGTCAAATTTTATCGGCAAATTTTACCCTGATTACTGATTTATCGCCTTTTGTCTTCATCTCTTGGCTCTAAAATATGGTAAGTGTAGTGAAATGGAGAACTTTTTTACTGGAAACGAGACATTTCATCTTAGTCCTTAGTGATGACAAAGCGTCTGCGTTTTGATTCTTAATCGAGGATAGATGTAGATGTCTATGGGCCACAGCATCCACTTACCATCAGGTGCACTGTCTGCTGGATTGTCACCTTTTACTAAAAAAAAATATGTCCCCAGTTCAATGTTCGTGGGTCTGAGCGAGATGAAGGTGCTGTCGCTGGAGCACAACCGACTGCGGCACATCGAGATCGACGCGTTCGTGGGGCTGCGTACACTGCACGAGCTGCGCCTGGCATACAACCAGCTCACACTGGTACCGCCGGAACCACCCCAGTTCTCCGGACATGGTACGGACTAATATCTTATTATCGATATCATCATTATCATCGCAGGTCTTTACAAGTCTACTGATGAACAAAGGACCATGCCCCTATTAGTATGGAGCTGAAAGTCAGCAATGCTATGCAATGCCCAAATTGCAGCTCTATGTCATATGATAACTTTTTAACAGTATTTATATGATATATAGATTTAATGTCATATAAAGCACCGCTTCAAAAGATATTGGACATTAAACATGATAACTTCCTACTGGTTTTTTATACATTGAAAGAATGTGTGACAGTCATTTTAGTTTTTTGGAATGTTTTTGACTTGGAGCTAAGTCTTTTAAGCCATTACTTCATTAGGTTTATGCTTTAATTATATTTGTTTATTTGAAGCCTAGATATACTTATACACTACCACAAAGCACTTTTTTACTTTTGCGTGTCTGGAGACATCATTTAGATCTTTATTCAACTCGTTGATGATTCAAATGTAAAATAATAATCGATATTGGAATCGATTACTTAGATCAATTGATCAACAAAAAAAACGATTCCTTTTTCGAAGACTTTATTTATCATGCCCATTATTAAGCCCGGAACTAAACAAAGCCTAAGATTTTATAATTTAAGAGACTGTCAATGAGGGATAGGTGAACAAACAAATAGTCCCATAAATGGCGTTGGTAAAAACTAGTCTGTCTCTGGCTTTTGATAACAAAAATAAATGCTTAACTGGGCCATGTTTTTTTCCATCTGATGACGTTTATTATAAAATTATATTTTTATTTGGTTTAGTTGTAAAGCAATATATTATTATTCGATTATTTAGCAATCACTTTTATGACTAATATTAATCATGTTGAGTTTTACATGGGCCAAAGGACGTGATTCCAGAGCGTAATAAATAAAGCATGAATTAATGATTGAAACGATAATACGTACCTACTGCAATGTCAACAAAACGTCTTATTATTTTTATTTTTTATCCAGTACTTCATATGATTTAAAATTAACAACATAATTCTAGTTTTTATTTATTAGAGCAATCTTGTAATATACTTTATCTGGGCATTTCTGGGGCGCAGATGGGCATTGTCTTTTAAAAACTTTACGAAACAAAGATTGTATAAAAAGGGATTATTAATAATAGGGATAATAACCCCTGCGAATGAAGTACTACCAAGCTATTTTTAATTTGTTTTGTGTTATTAATTATTGTGTAACTTTAATGATTGAAAAAAGTCACGCTGGGTTTCTTGCTATTTTTTCCCAGGACAGAGGTATTTTCCAAACCAGTGGTAAATTAAGCATAAGAGTGACTTTCAATAAGTATCTATATTGAATTGTACGGTCTTTACAAACCGCACATTTCTGCACATCAGCATTTTTACCTTATTGTTCCATTTTTCATTCTCATGAATTCAGTGCGCAATCATTCGCCGTCGCGCATTGTACTCACTATCAATAATATCAGAATAAATTAAATAATCAGTTCAAGTCTTTATCATTTTTATAAACTTTAACGGTGGTAGAGCCACGCAGCGGTTTTTGCTGTTGCACGTATGGGCCGGCAAGAGCCGGGTTAGTACCACGACCTCACAGAATAGCGGCGAGAAATGGAAGCTCTGGTTCCGCGTTTCGTCTGGTGAGTGCAGGTGACCGGAGGCCCGATTCCCCCAGTATCAACATGGTAGTGGAACTACATGATAGACTACCCCGGGAGGGTACCAGCACCCCTGGAGAATCCCTCGCTGAGCATCCACGACCATGCTACTCCACTCCTGAGCGTGGGTGCTCAGGCTGCCCCGCGTATTCTGGAGGAGGCAAAATTCCGCTCAATATAATAACTGTTCGGGGCAAACTGAGCAACATGATCAAGGCCACCCCTGCCACGCTATTCGTGAATTTCTGCAACATCAGGGGACTTCACTCGAAACTAAACGCCGTCCACTACCATCTCGAGACGGCGGAGCCGGCCTTGCTCTTTCTGACCGAGACGCAGGTGTCCTCTCCGGCTGATACTTCGTATCTCTCCTACCCGGGGTACAAATTGGAGCACTCCTTTGTGCCTCGGGCTGGAGTTTGCGTATACGTCAGAGAGGACATCTGTTATCGACGCCTCGGCAGTCTTGAAGGTTCGGACCTGTCCATCCTTTGGCTACGCGTAGACAGCGACGACCATCCGCGCGTCTACGTGTGCCTCTATAGGTCCCATAGCGGTAATGCCGTAACAGACCAACTCATCGACTACGTCCAAATGGCTACAGATTCCTTGCTACAACAGGTCCCATCCGCAGAGATCGTGATCCTTGGCGATTTTAACGCTCACCACGCCGAATGGCTCGGTTCACGTTTAACCGATCATGCGGGGAGATCTGTTCATGACTTTGCCTTGACATATGGTCTGACACAACTGGTTACATCGTCTTTCTTTGCTTCCTACCAATGGTGGCGGGTTTGCTTCTCGCCGGATGATCCCAGCGCTGTTGCTGACTCTGTCACTGATGTGGTGCTACAGGGAATGGAACTATTTATTCCATCATCTGTGGTACCCATCGGAGGCAGATCTCAGCCTTGGTTTGGTCGCTCCTGTAAGACTACATTACGCAGTAAGCAGGAGTGTTATCAAGCCTGGGCTGCGGCTTCGGCGACTCGGGATGTAAACACCAGCATACTTAAAAAGAAGTATAACTTCGCCTCCAGGTCCTTCAAAAGAGTTATTGCCAAGGCAAAGTCAGAGCACGGGAACTCGTGCATTCTGGTCTCTCGCCAAGGCTCTCCAAGGGAATTTCTGTAAGCCATCACTACCATCTCTGCACAGGGAGGACGACTCACTGGTCCACGACGCAAAAGAGAAAGCCGACTTTTTAGGCTCCCTTTTTGCGTCCAACTCAACTATTGATTTCGGGGGGAACACACCGCCGATCATCCCGCGGTGTGAGTGCTCCATGCCGGATGTGCGGTTCTCACAGCGCTCGGTTCGCAGAGCACTCCTCTCCCTGGACATCCACAAGTCGAGTAGGCCTGACGGAATTCCCCAATTGTGCTGAGGACGTGTGCTCCGGAGTTGGCACCGGTTCTAACGCGTATTTTCCGGTACTCCTACTCCCTAGGCGTAGTCCCGAAATCATGGGAGACAGCTTTTGTCCACCCAATCCCTAAAAAAGGCGACTGCTCAAACTCGTCCAACTACAGGCCTATCGCCATCACCCCCTCGTTCTCCAAAATAATGGAATCCGTTATAAACTGCTACCTCATGCGGTACCTTGAGGATCACCAGCTGATTAGTGACCGCTAAAACGGTTTTCGTCGGGGTCGATCAGCTGGTGATCTTCTGGTCTACTTAACTCATAGATGGGCGGAGGCAGTAGAGTCCAAGGGGGAGGCATTGGCCATTAGTTTGGACATTGGTTTGGTACAAAGTGCTTCTTTCGAAGCTCCCTTCCTATGGGCTTCCCGAGAAATTACGCAATTGGATCACTAGCTTTCTTGCAGATCGGAGCATCAAGGTCGTCGTAGACGGTGCATGCTCCGACTACAAGCCTATTAACGCTGGTGTTCCACAAGGCTGTGTGCTATTACCAACGCTGTTTCTTCTGCATATCAATGATATGTTGCAAACCGGTAGCATTCATTATTATGCGGATGACAGCACTGGTGATGCTCTATACACCGGCCGTGCCAATATTTCTCGAGAAAACGTCGCCGAGTACCGGAACAAACTTGTGTCTGAAGTCGAGTCTTTGCTAAACAAAGTCTCAGATTGGGGGCGACTAAATCTAGTCCAGTTTAATCCCCAGAAGACTCAAGTTTGCACGTTTACCGCTAAAAAGAACCCCTTTGTCGTATCTCCTCAGTTCCAAGGTACTCCCCTTGTTGCCTCAGCCAGTATCGGAATCCTCGGCGTCGACATATCGAGTGACGTGCAGTTTTGTGGTCACTTGGAAGAGAAGGCCAAATTGGCCTCTAAAAAGCTTGGCGTGCTCAGCAGAGCGGGACAGTATTTCATGCCGGCACAACGCCTGGAACTTTACAAGGCGCAGGTTCGGCCTCACATGGAATACTGTTCCCATCTCATTAGTCATTAGTTATTAAACTTGGTGGGGAATCTATTAAGACAGTGACTAACGTTAAGGTATTAGGCGTGGTTTTAGACTCGGGACTATCCTTTGTGCAACATGCATCCGATATCTCTGAAAGAGCGACCAAGGGATTCGGCAAGATGTCTCGCGTATCTACATCATCATGGGGTGTACGATATCCGAGTTTAAAATTAATTTATAGAGGAGTTTTTGTGTCCACGCTTACGTATGCGGCAGAGTGCTGGTACGAGCGTGCAAACATGTACACAGTTCGTAGCGTACTACTGAGATCGCAGCGATCCGCTCTTGTATTGTTAACCAGGGCGTACCGATCCACTAGCACGGCGGCCTTACCGGTGCTGGCTGGCGTTCTCCCTGCTGACCTAGAGGTCATCCGTGCTGGTAGGATGGGTATAGCACGTTTAACCGCGCCCAAAGAGGAGTTGAGCAGACGGAATCGCGATATCTGGACTGAGGTGATAGGCGCCTGGCAGGATAGATGGACGTGTGATACAAAAGGACGTGAGCTAAATCGATTTTTCCCGGACGTGGCGTTGAGACTCAGTTATACCTGGGTCTCACCGGACTACCAAACCTCTCAGATTCTCACCGGACATGGATGCTTTCGGAAGAGACTGAGCGATATGAAACTGTGTGAAATTAGTATGTGTGAGTGCGGTATGTCGGAGGAGGATGTTCACCATGTTCTATGGGAATGTCCTCTGTATGATGACCTAAGAGTGAAAATGATGGATGGACTAGTTCGTCCGGTTCAGGGACCAGTTTACTACTCGGATCTCGTCAGCGATGTGGTAAACTACGGACTGCTGCGCGAGTTTGCGCATAGGTGGCACGATCGCAGGACAAGGCAGGATGGAAGGCTGGTAGGAGCGCCCGACGACGTAGGCGTCAATGTGTCGTCAGCCCCAGAAGGGGGAGAATGACGTTAAACTGGGACAAGGAATAGATTAAATATTTGTAGGGAGTCAAGAAAGTGTGCGCGGGAAAGAGCCACGTGCAAGTACCGCGCGCATCTCCCGAGATTCGGCCCGTATGACCTGAGGGTCGGTGGGGCCATGGGAGGTGGAGGGTTGTTCCCATCTCAGGGCTCACCAGTGCCAGCTCCTTCCACTTGACCGCATCTAGCGCAGAGCGGCTAGAAGCGTCGACGACCAAGTCCTTTCCGATCGGCAGGACTCATTGGCGCTGCGAAGAGATGTTGCATCTCTTTGCAATTTCTTTCGCATTTACCACGGGGAGTGCTCTGAGGAATTGTTCGGATTAATCCCAGCCGCCAAATTTCACGAACGCACATCGCGGCAGAACTCCCGATACCATCCACACCATCTGGATGATTGGCGGTCCACCACTGTGGGATTTAGAAGATGTTTTCTTCTTCGCACGACTTCCTTGTGGAATCGATTACCATCAGCGATTTTTCTGGACCGATACGACTTGGGGACCTTCAAGAAAAGAGCCTACTCCTTTTTAAAAGGCCGGCAACGCATCTGCAACTCCCCTGGTGTTGCGGTTGTTCATCGGCGGTGGTAGTCACTTACCATTAGGTGAGCCGCATGCTCGTTTGCCCCCTCTCCTATATAAAAAAAAAACTTCTAAGGTTGTACAGCACAACGGCTCGTACATGAATAAAAAGTCTTGTATTTCTTTAGAACTTCATAAAATACGGTCCTCCACTATTTGCATCCTTCGACTTCCTACATACGAGTATCTTATCAGGTCGTTAGTCTGTCTAGTGGCGGTGCTACCCTAAACTTCACTTTCATTATTATTAAATAAAACAATACAAAGTCAGCCTCTTCGAATACCGTGGTATAACAATATTAAAATGAATAGAAACCATATAATTGTTATTCATAGATTACGTTCTGGGCACTACCCCAATAAAAAATTTCTATTTTTAATGAAAAAAGCAGACTCGCCCAATTGCGATATTTGTCATATTATAGAAGATGTACAACATATGCTAGCAGAATGTGTCAAATATCAAAGGGAAAGGGAGAATCTGGTACAAAAATTTAGTATCAATTTGTGTGAAACGGGTTGGTTTTTGAGTATACTTGCGGAGCCACACTCAGCGGTAGCAAAATCAGTCAGTACCATATTTTTACCACATTGATTGCCCCTTTCCAAATAGCATTGGTGAAACGGGAACAAGCTAGGTTACGATAAGGCTGACATATCCTTGTAGGATAAAAGCCTTTTTAAATAAAGATAGATAAAAAAAAATATTATTTACTTTTTATTATTTATTATTATTACACGGTTTGTTAAAATAGAGACATTAATCCGTTGTTGGGACATCTTGTTGGTAGGATGCTCCGCTCTTCCATAGAAAATTTCCTAAAATATTTCAAATTTTTTAAATAATCTAAAATATTTTTAATAAGAATGGAAGAGGAGTTGATTGAAAAAGTGGATGAGTTTGTATATTTGCGATGTGTATTTAGCAGGGATGGTAGATATGATAAGAATATAGAACGACGAGTAAACGCAGGAAATAGAGTGAATGGGGCTCTACACGCTATTATGAAAAATCAAAATGTGTCAAAAAAGCCACGTAGGGCAATCCATAATGCTGTGTTAGTCCCTACTTTAATATATGGTAGTGAAAGTTGGATCTGGTAGAAGAAGCATGAGAGTAGAATAAATGTTACAGCATATCTACAGATATGCGGTCATTAAGGATTATCCTGGGGCTGAATCTGAATGACAGGGTGAGAAATTGTGTAATAAGAGAAGAGTGTGGTTTGCAAGATGACGTTGTGACCAGGATTAAGAAAGAAATGCTTGTTGGTTTGGTCATGTAGAAAGAATGAACGAGGAAAGAGTGACAAAGCAAATTTATGTTGCAGAAGTGAACGGCAGATTTGGAAAGGGACGCCCTAGACGAAGATTTATCGACCATATTGGCGATATATTAAAAATGCGCCAGATTAAGAGTACACTTAACCGAAGAGCGTGTATGCGTAGATATATGGATGTGAAGAAGGCGAGAGGGGTGTGTCAGGATCATATCGAACGGAAGTCCGTAGTCTCCACCTACCCCTCTGGGTGACAGGCGCGTGTTTTTATGTTATGTATGTATCTAAAATAGTCTTATAATAACAAAACTTAAATTTAAATTATAACAAAAATAGTTTGAGTGTGAGTGTGTGAGTGTGTTTGTGTAACTTACTGGTTAAATTTAACATACTATGTATTGAATCGGTGTCCTATGTGTATATCAGTGCAAACCGTGTCAGTTAATATTCTTAGTTCCTGCAATACAAGCCTAAAGCTTAGTGCAGAAACTATTGTTAAGTTTTTTTGGTTAAATAAATATACTTCTGTTCTATTCTATATTATCTGTCTGTCACTTGAGAACCTTTGTTCCTCATCAGTTATCGTTTCTTCGAGCTATATAGCCGATAATATTGAAACATAGAATTACATAACATAAAAACAACGCCGGAAGTCGCAACATCGATATCTTAAGTAGAAGTGAGACTAAATGATATACCATTATAGGTTTTCACCTTGATGATTATGAAATCACCATCAGGTGGCGAAACATCCGCAAAATAATCACGACGTAAGCGAATCAATCACCTCATATCGCCTCGTGGATGTCGTAAGAGGCGATTGTGAGACCCTGAACAGCAACAGGAATCAGCGTTACAGTTGCTCAATTGGATGAATTTCCGCCATCAGTCGGTCTTCAAACCCTTGTGTACATGAAGTTGCCATTTGGAAATAAAAATTAGCATCGTGGAACACTCGGCTGGAACGAAGTTCCTTTCGTGGTATATTATTATTGATAAACGTATTATATTATTGATTAACAAATACAAATAAATGAATTACAAGCGTCTATCTATTAAAATAAAGCGTCATTTAAAATAATATTTCTTTCATGGCAAGATAAGAAAAAGAGCGAGGGAGATGAATATTATTCCATCTCGCTCGCACTATAGAAAGGGATTCGTGAAGGAAAAATCTTACACTTTTGCTTTTTTGTAAAGCAAAACAAGCACATGTTTTTACAAGCTAAAGATGTTACAAAAATTAACTTACGGAACCCAGATAAACTAGTACTTGACACAATTCCAAAAAGTAAGCGCTTTCAAAAAAATAGCTATGCAATGTGCAACACTATTTATAATAAAATACCCTCACATATTAAACAATTACCATACCACAATTTTAAAATTTCATTACGACGATGGCTGGTAGAAAAAACATTTTACACAGTAAATGAGTTTTTAAATTGTAGTGATTAAGTTTTCGATGCTTGAATTAATTTATTTATATTAATTTATTTATTTTTAAAATTTGTAAAATGATGTTTTTAGTTATGTGTTTTAGATTAAGTTTAGAAACTAATTATCTTATAAAAACTTTTGGACATTTGCATGTTGTTGAAAACAGCTAAATAGGTTTTCTCAACACATTCGTTTTATAACACCAAGAACAAAATATTTTTGTACCTATTTACTAGCAAATAAAGAATTTGAATTTGCTCGCCTAGCCCCCATCCGTCAAATCCATACCGTCCGATAAAGAACTTCGTTCCAAAGAGTTGGTGTAGTTCTCTTATGTAACCTATATAATTAATTTATATTAAGTTTTTGTTTTTAGTCTGTACGGACTCAGAGGATCCACTACACCATATCATCCCGTGGATGTCGTAAAGGCGACATAGAGAAATTGAAACAGGAGATCAGCAGCAGCAGCATCTTCCTGATAACAACAAAAAACAATAAAAAACTTCGGTTGCCAACCCGCTTGCCAAGCGTAGCGTATGGTGATTTTGATAGGCTGTAATGGTGATTATTATGTTGCCAAAATCGAAGTTTGAAACAACCCGCATTAATGTTAAAGTGGTCAACATTCAACATGGATGTCATCATTGTTTTCATCTGACCCTGCACAGATTACCTACTGTTGCCAGAGCCGCCGTCGCCCTTCAACTCTCTGTTCCTACTGACGCACCTCGACCTCAGTCACAACCGCGTGCAACGACTCCTGGACGACTGGCGCACCGTTCTCGTCAGTCTGCGAAAGCTCAACCTCAGTTGGAATAACATCACTGATTTGAATGTAAGTTTTTTTACGTGGAAGAACCATGCTGTAGTTATATTATGGTTGAAGCACGCATGGTTCACGCGAAAATAGCAACTCAATGCTGATGTGTTTCGTATGGTGATTGTAATGAAAAAGAGGCCCCTTTTAACTGGAAACGAGGCATTCCATCTTAGTCTTAAGGGTTAAGAATGCATCTACATTTTGATTCTTAATCGAGGATAGGTGTAGATGTCTATAGGCTGCAGCGTCCATTAACCATCAGGTGGACTGTGTGCTCGTTTGTCACCCTTATTCTATGAAAAATACTTTTTATAAAAAGTGTTAGAATACAATTCCACCTGGTCAAAAGTGGTGATAAAGCCCTAGATAGCAAATCGCACTATCCCATATTAACAAAAGCCTATTCAATCTCGCCTTGAAGATTTCCAGATTGTAATTGGATGGAAAGACAGACTATTCCACTCCTTGGCTCCACGCAATACGAAAGACGAAGCAAACCGTTTATCTCAAATGCGTGGATATATTTGTATTGGCAACAAAGAGGTGAAGACCCGCCGACCGCCAGTTTGTCCAATGGTGGAAAGGGGGAGAGGGGAAATAAGACTAAGAGAATGCCTGTGCACACTCTCTGAAATTCATCCGATAGAAGCAAGTATGTCGGCCTCGAGCACTATTATCTCGGGCTATTTTGCGATAAGTACCAATAAGCCTCTTAGCTCAGCAGCACTGATCACAATATGATGTGTCTGTGCACTTAATATTATTTCTTTGTTTATTTGTTTTTTGTTTACGCCAATAGATCGTCCAAATAGAAATTTTCTTTGTTCTAGTACATCAACATGAATTTCTTGAGCTCTGACGTGGTAGTGGACTTGAGACACAATAACATTTCCACGGTGAAGCTATGGGGTCCGAGCGACGGCAGCGCGCAGTTTCTCCTCGACAACAACCCGTTTACGTGCGACTGCCACCTGCCGGCGCTGCAGCGCGCCTTGCGCCCGGGAGGTGTGGGAAGCGGGCCGCGGCTGGTGGCAACGCGTGCGCGCTGTGCAGCGCCACCAGCGCTGAACGGGATGGACTTGGTGTCGGTGCCGCGCTCGCTCCTGGAGTGTGCGCTGCCACCGCCCGCCTGCCCGTCCGCCTGCAGCTGTTCACTGCGCCCCGACTACCTTGACCTGGACTGCATCAACCTCCCTCCACTTGCCGCCCTGCCACCGCCCGCCATACACGGCCTCGCCGCCGCTCATTTACGTCTTCGCCGTGCCCCCGAATCTCTAGAATCACTCCCGCGATACTTTCATTTACTCAATCTTACCGCGCTAAATATCACCGAGGTGCCGCCTCTGCCCCCGGCCGTCGAGGTTGATCTTATTGATAATCAGCTGACGCGAGTTCCGATCGAGGCACTGACGAATAACACGCTGCGATTGGCGCTAAATCCTCTTGCTTGCGACTGCGGTCACGCCGTAGACGTGGCCGCATTACAACGTGCGAGTTCGAACATTCTAGATTACGGTGACGTGACATGTTCGAGCGGTGAGACGTTAAGGAGCGTCGCGACGGAGACACTCTGCGAGGCGCGAGACGCCGCCGTTCTCGGTGTTTCGTTCGCCATCTTGGTCGTGGTCGTGGTTATTATCGTCGTGCTGCTGCGTCGGTACCGCACCGAATGCCTGCTGTGCGCCCACCGCTGCGGCTGTTGTCCGCCAGACGACGACGATGACGATAAAGAATACGATGCTTTTATCTCGTTCGCGCACAAGGACCTGAAGTTCGCGGAGGAAATGGTGACGAAACTCGAAGCGTCCCCGCATTCGTTACGCATATGCGTGCACTACCGCGACTGGCCGCTCGGCGATTGGATCCCGGCGCAGATCTCTCGCTCCGTAGAACGGTCGCGACGCACTGTAGTCATTTTGTCCAAGCACTTCTTATCGTCAGTATGGGGGCTGCTGGAATTCCGAGAGGCGCATCTGCGTGCGCTCAGCGAAGGCCACGCTCGCGTCGTGATAGTGCTGCTGGACGACGTGATGTCGGACGAGCGTTTGAACGACGAGCTGCGTGCGTACCTGTCCACCAACACGTACCTGCACCGGGACGACCCGTGGTTCTGGGCGAAGCTGGCGGACGCTCTGCGGCGGCGGCGCGGCGTGGCGGCGGCGCTGCGCCGCCTTGCGCCGCGCCGCGCCGCCGCCGCGCCCCCGCCGCGCCTGCACGTCGACAAGCTCCTGCGCTCGGCGCTCGACGCGAAGCTCTCACAAGATGGACATATCGTTAATGCCGCCTTCACTGCGCCTTCACTCTAGTGCTCGGTTACTTCATTTAAGAAAATTTTGGTATATTGTTAAGATTTAGTGTATTTAGCATACGAAGTGCATATAAAGCCTATACGTCACGGTAAGTATAAGCGCTGCAGCACTTTACGTTGATGGCACGACGGGTAGCATTTTAATGTTTCTGTTTCGTATAACCGAAATCTCTTTTAAGTACATAACGAGGCACTCAATCTTAGTGCTCAGTAGTGATAACGCACCAAGAAAGAAAAAGAGAAGAGAAGGAGATAGAAAATATTTTTTTATTCTATAAAAAAGACCATTTAAAAACATTTTTGTACTTAAAATTCCGACTAATAACACAGTAGAAAAGGTATACTCTTAGTGCATTATGAATCTCAATATTGCATGCTTTCATTAAAAGTAACAAAATGTAAATAAAATATCGATACAGCAAATTAGAAATTGTAAATTAGTACTACATAACATACACGTTAAGGCTGATTGTAGATATTTATAATATAAGATTAAAAACTATTGGTAAATCCAATTGTGCATGTCCTAAGCGCATTAAAAGAATTACATATAACATGATGTTGACATGAACTATATTAAAGTAGTTTAAATACACACAAGTTTTCACTAATAACCTTATTATACTTCCAATTTTCCAATAATTTTATGTCAAACGTCAAATAAAATAAAAGTTCGGAAAATCCAAAAGTGCACGACTCATAAGGGTCACATTATGATTATCATATCATCATTCAACTCACTCCATAAAGTCAAAGACGTATTTAAGTATAAATATATACATCCTACTTACTTTTAGTACCTACTATTATTATTTATTTTGTGGTTTTAAAAAAATTGTAATAAAATCTGTGATTATTTGAATAATCAAGTACGTATGAAAGAACATACTTGATTATTAAAATTGCGAACATATGATTGTAAGATACGATTTTATGCGACAAAACGTTGGAGTCTTGATTTTTAGGCGCTAGTAGAACATACCTACGCGCTTTGCGCTTAAGGCATGCAATACATGAAATTCTCTAAAGCAAACTTATTTTAAATGTGATACGTGCAATGTATGTTTTATGATTTGTTTATTTCATATCTGATATAAGCATTAACAAAGGTACAGCAGTTACAAAAATATTATAGAAAATAGAAGACATTTGTTATGTTATTCCTTGAGATAGTTTCGCATGACGAATCATGTTATATTTAATGAGCCAATGGCGTAACAGCTAGCATTGAGTACTTTATGTAATTAGATTAATAAAAGTCGCGTGTAAGAATATGGAATCTCAGTTACAAGATTTGCAATAAATATTTTATACTGTATATTTTTGTATAGTTGTTGTTCCATTATAACTTCATACTACTTTATGATGCCACTGTTTATTGTTGATTAGTCGTATTTTTCATCCAGGAAGCCATAAAATTATTTTCAGTAATTTAAATGTTCCAGCTTAGAGTGAATCTAGTCAACTAGCTGGCGGCGGCCGGACTGTGCACTTATATGATTACCAAGCAATATATGCTATTAAAATATGTGTATTTCAGGCTTGAATTCTGCGATGAATTAATTACCACGTGTCTTCCATTTTTACAAAAATATAAAAGTAAAAGTTAATAATTAAATATAAGCCTAGTTTGTAAAACCCACCGAATGTTGAGGTGTTGGATATTCAAATTTATTTGAGTATTTATTATTTTCTTTTGAATTAATTTCCGTAGCAACTACCTCGTTTGCCGTTGTGCCGTTTGCGCGACAAGATCACAATTATTGCAAGTTTCAAAATGTCTAATATTGTTAAAGCAATTGTTTCGAGAATTTATTAGGGGCAGCTTATGTACGCTTTCACTCTCACTTTTACTTATGTCGTAATGGTGTTTAGTCAGAATAGATGTCATATATTATCAAATGATTGTAGAAAACAACCAGATGTTTTCATTTTCAGTTTTAAAGTGTTCATTTAAATAATGACTATTTAGTCTATATGAAAATAAAATTAAAAATACGTATTAAAAGTATACTTGTTGACGTTTCTTTGCGGAATAGTCGCAAAACTCTTTGTAAAGGTTAACAAAGTTACTGTGTTAACAGAAGCCAAAAATAACTCTTCCCCTCAATATAATACAATATAAGCTACCCGAATTTGATGCAATGGACAGCAGAATATATGTGTGACGCGCGCAAACGTTTTACCTACTCGTAATTTTGGTCAGAACTAGTTTTCTGATTTCGATTTCAATAATCCATTATCTAGCGGATTTTAATAACTTTAGCCAGTAAGTTATTTCAAGATTTCCATGTACTTGTTCCTTGGACAAAAATATTGCTTTTTATAAAACTGGCTGTCAAATTTCAATTTCTTTATTTTCGCATTTTGTAACAGAAAAAATAGATAAAAAAGAACTCTAGAAATATTTTTGATTTATAAAAAATTTGACTGCTATAAAAAAAACAAATCCATCACCCAATTTAGTCTCATGGATGTCGTAATAGGAAACTGAGGGATATGCCAGACTTAATGCCCAAACTAGCGAAGGGAAGCAGTGTGCGAAAAAGGTTCGAAGACATTTGGCATTGCAATCCTAAATCCGCCTAGCCGCCGTGATGTTTGGGGTAAATAGAAAAGAGCCTATGATGTACAATTTAAGTTAAAATATACTTATAGAAACGGAATTATCGTTGGTGCTTCTAGACCATTTTGATCGGTATATAAGATGCAATAAACTTGATTTGTATTGATAAAATAAATCGGAGCAATATTATACAAGCAATATCTATAATTATACTTATGTAATTTTTTTTTAATATATGTGATATTTGATAACGATTGTTTTATTAAAAAGTTGTTTTATCTCTTTCCCTCTGAAACAGACCAAATAAAGGAAATACAAAGACACTTAGCAAGCTATGGAGAAGCTTTTCTAGAAGATGAAATCGAGGAGAGGTAGATTCTTCACAAACTTGCATCGATAACATCGAGTACAAATCGAAATAAAATGCGGAATAAATATCCTGAGTGGGAGCCCCTTTTTACTGGAAATGAGGCATTCCATCTTAGTCCTCACGGGTGACAACGCATCTGCATTTTGATTCGCAAACGAGGATAGATGTAGATGTCTATGGGCCGCAGCAACCACTTACCATCAGGTGGACTGTGTGCTCGTTTGTCACTCTATCCTATAAAAAAAAGTGCTTTGCAGTAAGCTCGTGATGACTATAAAATCTAACGCTGTAGAGGCGATGTAAGAATATAAACTATACAATATTTTCCCATGGATATCGTTAGTGGCGACAGAGACAAATGAAACAGGCGATGGGCAGCAGCCGGTTCCTGTTAACAACTCAAAATAAAAATAAATGCTGTGAAGTGGAAGGCCTATGTTCAGCGGTGGACTTTTGGCAAGATGTAATGATGATGATGATGACTAAAATCAATATTTGTGATAAAATATTATTTTAACTACCTTTTTAAGATATTGCAATGTATGCAGCTAGGTTGTGAGTTGTGGCATATCGTAATCCGTCACCCTATTTTGTCTTCTGATTAGAGATATGGGGAATATTTGTCGTTACTCCGCCGAGGAGGGCCACTAAGGGACGATTGATGCTAATGGGTCACGGTTGTGTGAGGAAAAGTTCCAGTGGCCCGAGTCCAAACCCCTATTCCAAGTTCAAATATTTTACTCCACTATTTACTTCCTTTATTATATGCTTGTACGTCTGGGATTGCTTGACGCAACTATTATTGGATAATTTGGCGTCAAGATTACTTTTGAGAAAGTACGTACGAAATTATTTTGCTGAACATTGTTGGCTACTGTTTTGATTCACTATCATTTTGGTTGTCTCTTGATAGCCGGAAGTTATAACTTGCCAGGTCTATATAAGGTTTTGAGTTCTTTCCTAAGACTCTCTATTATCACTCGGATGGGAGTCGCAGAGTCCATGGGAGTTGTTGTGGTATTCAACACCTAGTCAAGTTAACGGGAGCGGTGGAGGCGTTTTTAAAAACTAAAATAAAACTAAGAGATGTCCGTAAAGAAGCTCATGTACTTCAACAATGGCAAACTTATTCTAATACATCTTTCATGCAGACTTTATTACATTTGCTTACTCAAGTGACACGATATATAGGCCACACACAGGGTGTAAAGTCAGCAATAGTATTTATGCACGTACTTGTATCACTCTGTGTGGGGTCGAATCCATGATTCTTCCCTCCTCAAGAGCGAAATTATCGGCATTTCCAGGAATCCGATGATTTCGCTTAATTACACACAGTTTATGTCTAATTATAATAAAAATACAGAAAATAATTGGTAGAATTATATACAAAATTATCGTTCCTAAACTCACACTTTTAACGTTAATAGCACTTTCACTGAGATTTATTTTGTTAAGTTTTACTAGTTGAAGTAATTGTTTAGTTTCGTCTAGATTTATGCCTTTTAAACTCACTTCACTGACAATGGGAGGCTTCGAAATCTTCAGTTCTGGCAAGTTAGTCATTGGGTAAATTCGGTAATTTAGGTTTTAGGTTATCTGAAGAAGATTGGTGGTATTTAAAGTGAATATTTCCAATTTCGGCTTCACAGAAATCGTCTGCGGTGATTATGTAAGTACCACATAAAAGTTCATGAGTGACGTCATTGTCGCACTTTCTGGTAAGTATTCTATGATTTCTCACGTACAGTATCCAGCTTTTGTGGCTTATTCGTTGGATTTTGGGATCTTCAATGTCCACAGTATGCTGTTCGCAGGCATCGAGGTTTGATTGAAACTCCATGAGCTGTTCCACGCAGCTTTGTTCTGTATGCAGCAGCACATCGTCGTTATTGCACAGGAATTGATTATCCAAAGCAATTTGTTTACAGGCTCTCGGGACTGGCAAGTATTCCTTTTCTTTCAATAATATAAAAACTATAATAGTTTTGTTTGCAATAGCAATTGGCAATGAATACATTTTGAAGTAACTATATGTTTTATTCCCTACTAAAGAGACCTC